TATGCTGAATGCCACGACTGGGAGGATGCTGAAGCACGCGACAGGACGTTAGCGGATGTGCGGGGAATATCGGAGGGCATATAGCCAGCCGAAGTTCGTATATTATACTATATATATATTATATATATATATATTATACGTTATAGTATAACATCATGTTTTACGTAATATGACTTGAATCACTGCATTCGCTTACCGCTAACGGGCCGCGTTTATTAAATACTCTCGTGGGAATAGATCGACTCTCGCGAGCATTATAATATTATTCTCTCGCGTATACTGAATTTTACTTATGCGCAGTATTATTCTTCGCTCAGATACGAGCCTACGCTACGCCGCACACGTGAATTTCTTCGGCGACTCTAGCAATATAAAACGTGTTTTCAATCTCAGCTATCTGCTCCGCCGATGTCGAAAAATCTCGGCATTCTCCGCAGTCTATGCGCATCAGGAGTAGATAATATGAAATTTCTTATTATTCTACCGCTCGATGTGCATGTATCGCCGCTCGTGTATTTTAGGATATTAATATTTATAAAAAAATGATAGAGAGCATAGATTAGTACGCAAAACTAACTCTCACGAATAAAATAGATATGCTTCATTTGATTTATTAATAAAATAAAATTTATTTTTTAGCTGCTTGAGTCAATGTATAATTAATACATTTAATATATTTTTAAGCGCACAGCAGCCATTCCATAATTTGTATAAAATTACAGAAAGCGGAAAAATAACACAACGATGATGCATATAGTTTATTCAAACCAAATGACGTTTAGAGACAACGTGCATGGTCGATTTATTTATTCTGTATAGCAGGTAGTTACTAAATTATAATATTATGAGTAACAAGGTATGCGTACTAGGTTGATATAAACACTATATATAATATACTGTTAGATTATTCGAGTAGCGAGCAGCATAAACGACAAAACACAGGCACTAGAATTAATTCTGTAACGCTTTTTAGAAGCCTCCCACAGGGAAACTGCTACCGTTAGTTTCTAATATCGTTATCCAACCAGGGGGGCCAGTTGCTAAAAACCATCATAAATAATTATGGCATTATTAGTGTAAAATGTCGCTAACATTTATGTGGATGCTGTGCTATGCGCCCCATATTATCTCTCGGTTCACAATCTATGACACTAAACATTCAGACTAAAAGTGGCGCTGAGTTCTAAAAACGATGAATGTAACAGATCACTTACTAAGGAATTGAAACAGGTCCGGACGTCCACTCCTAAGCTTTGTTACATGAAAATATTGCCACTCCCTCTGTAAGTAATTATATATTTACTTGTCAAAAATATATTTCCTGGTGTCCCACGCCCATTAATCACCTATATGAACTTGAGGTCATTCCTGGTAAGGAGTAAGTAGCTTTCCTTCGCAAACGCTTGTCCATCTTATCTGCCACTAAGACAATTCTTTCAGACGGCTTCCCCGCGTCATCCGGTGAAGTTCTGACTTCCCACATTCACGAACATAAAATATATCTCAGGTAATTTCGTCGTTGCTACCGATAACAAAAGGTCGGTACCAATCCCGGCCGCTTCCCGTTTGACGTCTTATTTCCGAATCTCGAAAAATTTATACGCTTCAGCGCCACTATCTCCAATCATCTTAACTAGTTATATTAGTGTATAAATCCAGTATCCGCGCCGAAAATGACTTTCCGCTTCAGGTGCCGCTTAAATACAGCCCATCATACGTCGACCCATTAAAGAGAACTTACTCAAAAGCTGAGCTTGAAGTTCGCCTGCGTCATGTTTGCCGACTCGCATCTCGAATGCATTTTCAGATAAGCGTCTACACCTCTGCTTGTTAATGTTGACGTTACTTTAATACGGTGACTTCTCTGAAAAAGAAGATAAATGTAAATTATGTGGCGATTGTAGCTAGCTGGATGATCCGAATGTGGCGATTGTAGCTCCAATGATTCATTTATTGCATGAGTATGTGGAGTAAGAGAGCGAGCGAAGGCCGAGAGAAAGATGATATCATATATATAATTATATCGATAATATATAAAATAGCCGAAAGTTTGGCAGGAATAGGAAGTCAAAGAGTTAGCCAATATGGACAAAAGCTACTGCGTCTCGTATCAAGAGGAGAGGCAGCTAGAAGAGCCTGAGAAAAACAACAGATCAGATAGTTATTAATTATGAACAGACACGAAGTCGATTAGTTAAATAGAATTTTAGTTAGCAAAACACTGTACACACGCAACAGAAAAAAAGAATGAGGATCGTTACTTTTCACATTATTATTGATTGAATACTTCTGCCAGAAACTGCATCCGTTTTACGGACGACTAGAAAAGCTCTGATTAGTTCGTATCCTTCGTTTTCTGGCTATCATTGCGGACGCCGGTAACGGGAGACGTCTCCTACTCCCGCGATTGACTCATGAGGATTTCTTCCATTTCTGAATGGCGGAACCTGCAACATACGCGGCTAAATACTTATAATAGTATAGTATGACTAAATTATTAGGTAATTGTATGTTAGGCCGTATCAATGGCTACGCTTACCGGTTCGCATGTCTGTGAACTAATGCGGGCTGAAATGTAGTTGTTTGCGCAGTACAGAGCGTTTTGATTTGGGCCTTTTAAAATGGTCTATACTTCGTTATGTGGAGGTATAGGTGATTGAAATGTCACTGCGTAGCTAGCTTCCTACTGATATTGACAAAGCGCGAAGTCACCGACTCCAGGCTGGCCCCCCTTCCCGCCTCTATCTTACTTCTCGAACCACGTATTTCTACTTTCTACTAACGACTCTGCCTGCTACTCACTACTTCTACTGACTGCTGCTACTGCTAACTGCTACGTTGACCACTGACTACTACTACTAGCTACTACTACTTACTACATATTACTACTACTCTAACTACTACTACTATCTACTCATACTAACCTCGACTACTGACAGCCCCCCAGGCCCATCGACCAACTAAAAAAGCAATCCATAAACAAACAACAAAAGCCAACCCGCCAACGCAAGACCCACACCAATACACTCTCTCGCAAACAATGAAAAGAGACTGTCACACCGGAACGGCCCCTCACGACGCAGTGCCTGCCCCCGCACACACACGCTTCTTTATTCATAGTAACACCAACAAATACTGCTGTGCTGGTGGGCTCATCTCTGGTGGCTATGACGGCGATCACGTGATTCCCACCGGTTGTATGAAGGAAACCTGTGGGGTGATGTCAAACTGCATGCAGCGCCCCCTTCCCACACTCAGGACAATTGAAAATCAGGAAATCAGCAGAATTGAGCCAGAGCGAGAGCGCCATCTGTCGTGGAGTCTGGGGTGATGTGTGGCTTGTCATGTGATGTGCGTGACATAAAACATGACTTGATCACGCGTCTCTCGTGATGCATGATGGGAAGGTAAGAAGCCCCACCAACGCTGAGCTTGTGGTATAAATACTGGGCTCAGCTCTCAGTAAGGCGGAGTGTACGATCTGGAGCGACCGCGACGGGTCAAGCCAGCATTGCGGCCACAAGCAGGAGCGCCTCATCTTCACGGATCACGGATCACAGCTGTAGTGAGTTGCTTGCCCTGTGCAGGGGTTAACTAGATACTGGTATGCTTACGTGATCCGTGAAGATGAGGCGCTCCTGCTTGTGGCCGCAATGCTGGCTTGACCCGTCGCGGTCGCTCCAGATCGTACACTCCGCCTTACTGAGAGCTGAGCCCAGTATTTATACTACTCTAGGGTGTTAGTTAATACTGTTTAGCTGTTCAGTTCATCGTGTATATTTCTACACCCCAGCGACAACGCTGTGTGGGATTCTGTGCACCATCTTTTAGTTCACCTTAGTCTGTTGACTAAGACCGAATAAAAGCCCCGGGCCTATTCCCGGCGTGAACACTTTTATCAGCTTGTTCTGGTTTTTACGTGTTGCTATTTCTTGTATTGACTCCTACACTACAATCCAGTGGTCGAACCTTCATTCGTCGTCACAACTAGACGTAAAATCGTTGCATATATATATATATATGACGTTGCTGGCAGGTGTGTTTATGACATGCAGGTGTGATCACCATGCAGGGCTCGCTACTCTCCTGCTTTCTCATCAAGGGCACAAGAGTACAACCTGATTTAATTTTTCCCGCAACCCGTTTTAAAACCAGCCAGCACACATCGCTTTCAATTAGACCCGATCAAATCCGATTAACAAATAACGAGGGCACGCATGCACGCTAACGTCGAGCACACGCGGTAAATTGTCATCTCGAGTGACATGTCGGCGAGGTGAGAGCGACAGTTTGATCTTGTTCATAACATGCGAGTGTTTAGCTCTCGCGTGCTGCATGCGAAACAACGAGGTACTTTCAGGCTTTAAATCTCCGCTCTCATCGCTTATCATCGCCCTCTGATTCAACTTTCCCGGCGTGCGTGACGGATCAGCTTCGCGGCAGTTTAATTATTAAAGTCGCACAATAAAAAACTTTCGGTTATGCGGAGAATCGCATCGGAAACCGGATGCGCGGCTGTCCGTTGCTGCTGCTGGCGTCGATGCGTTGGCATGACAACGACATTTTTATATTTGCTATATAATTGTCTCAGCGACATCGAGGACTGCCCCTGTTGCATTAAACATATAGAATAGAATATATAATCAAGAGCAAATAATATATACGTATTATTAGCTGTTGATTATATATATATCAAGAGCTAATAATAAGGTATTATTAGCTCTTGATATATATAGATATATATAATATAATAATATAGAAAATAGTATAATAACATATAATATATATATATAATATATATATATAGATATAGATATAGATATAGATAGAATCAAGAGCTAATAATACATTATTAAGGTATTATTGGCTCTTGATAGAATAGAAATTACTACTGCTGCAATCCGCTGCCACTGCTGCAATCCATAGCTACTCCCGCTTACAACTGCTGCAATGTGCAACCGCTGCAATCTACAGCGCCTGCAATCTAAACCCACAGCGTATATTAATCACATCAGGAGTGAATAACAATTGAAATATATTCCATTATTATTCATTCCTGATCACATCAATCTTGAATCTACAACTAAACCGCTGAGCGATCGGCTCATTTCTTTTCACGAGGTTACGAAAATCTGAGACATGAACACGCGTAAGCGATCGAACCTACGTCACATAGAGGACTTTCTGACACCCCCCGATGCCACCCCTGACGACAAGCTCTTCATAGGAGTGACAACTTCACCGTCTACCCACAGGCACTTGGAGCGTTTCAATAAAATATAATGCTAAATAAATACGAAATCTATTTCCTACCAAAGTCTTAATGTTTCTCTACTCTCTTTCGCCTATTATTGCCGACAATTTCCTGTAAATGCCGTCCTATAATTGCTCTATAGAGCTCTCTATATATGTGTCAGTGTGCAGCAGCTTGCGCGCGGTGTACATGCGTGTTGCAGAGGAGCATTTGGACGGCATTTTAACAGGAAATTGTCGGCAATAATAGGCGAAAGAGAGTAGAGAAACATTAAGACTTTCGTAGGAAATAGATTTCGTATTTATTTAGCATTATATTTTATTGAAACGCTCCAAGTGCCTGTGCTTCTACCCGCTCTCCCACCTCTATCTCACTCTACCTACATGAGTAGCCGCTGCAACCACGTCGCTGTGAAAATGGCCACGTTGTGCGCGTGACCTCACGTTCGCACGGAGGAGAAAAGAAGCAAAAGCCATGAAGGCAATTTGCCTCCTCCCCCCCCCGCCGTGAAAGGGACTGCGCTGTTTCCTGACTTTCTTTTCGCTTTTGAAATCGCAACCGCCGCGGTGCGAGGTGAGCGGACGTAGTCGGTGTGCTGACCCACCCCGGCGGCCACCCCCGTGCAGCCACGCAGGACAGGCTAGCGTACTATTAGTGTGCATACAAACCATAGCGGCGGCCATTCTCAACTAATAACACATACCAGATAATCCTGGTAACTAACAATACACAGTGTGCTGTATGTTTAGGCATTTGACAATACACTGTGTATTGATAGCGAGCTTTCAACAATACACACTGTATTGTTGAAAGTGTATTGTTAGTTACCAGGATTACCTGCGCGCGAGCGCGCGCGCGCGCGCACACACACACACACACACACACACGCGCGCGCGCGCTGACGTGTTTGACGTGTTTTATACTACCTTATTACGAATAAGGATGCGTAGTGGTAAACGTATATATAGGCACGATATCGCCTCTGTGGGGGTTACACCTAGTGGTTACATTTAAGTAGCTATCGTACGCCTACTCTGTGATACATTTGCAGTGTAGAATTAGTATAATAGGTGTTTCTACATGGGTGGCTGGCTCTATGCGTATAACGGCTGCCGCGTATAACTCTGTTAGTATCTATACTCTGTTTACTAGCTCTCTCTGTTACTGTACAGTACTGTAGTAACTCTATAGTAACTCGGTAGTAACTCTGTAGTAAGTCTGTTAGCTGTACAGTACTGTTACTGTACAGCTAACTCTGTTTGCTAGCTCTAATCAGGGGCGTAAATCCCGGGGAGATGGGGGATGCATCCCCCCCCCCGCTCTGGAAGGAGGGGGGATGGCCTGTACAAATATCCCCCTGAGATTCAAAAAAAAGAGAAAAAAAAAGAATAGCCAAAAAGTATGGCTGCAAACATACAAAAACACGTGAAATTGTGAGAAATTGCAATTCTTACCTGTGTTTTAATACATGTACGTATTATTACTATAGTAACCTAACTGTGTACGCTCTCTGAAAAGTCATGAAAAGTGTTTTGAATCCTAACTTGTAGGGTTGAGTCTAGGGTTGAGATAGTGTCATCAGACATGAGAATATGGCCCACAGTATGCCTCAGATTGCAGGAAAATGGCTTGGCACTGGCATGCCTACGGAACGCGGGCCTGCCTGCGGCAGCCAAGGTTAATTTCGTCCCCGGCTATCGCCGATCATCCCCCCCCCCCATTCTTCGGTACGGATTTACGCCCCTGGCGCCCATGTTACTACTAATGTTACTACTCCGCAGGTAATACATCAAATAAGTACTAAATTACTGTATTTGGCTTTGGCAGAAACACGTCGTAACTGTGAGCCTATAATTGCAATTACAGAAACTTGGTAATAAGCTGTCATTAGACGTCTACTGTGCTGTGATTGGTGAGTACTTTGTGACGTTGCCTTTGACGAAGTTCCTATGTGGCCGTACAGTAAGTACGTAGTTGTAAGGTGAGGCTCAGCGGGTGATGATTCGTCGATGAACATTCTTCCCTGGCGGTCACGCAGAACGTTTCTAAATAATTCAAAACAAAGGCAGTTGTCAGACTCGATCTGCAGCAGCTAATCCACACTCAATTCGCATTGTTCGCTTGATTGCTCGCTTGGACACGGAGCGTCGTTGAACAGAGCGTTGACACGACGTTTGATCGATCAGTTCTTGGACATGCCTCTATGCGAGCTGCCTGATATGCGAGCTGCGAACTGCGAGCTGAGAAAAAAATACAATGCGTCCAAGCGAACAATGCTAATTGGGTGCTCCGCACGCGCTGTTCAAACTTCCACACGTGGAAGAAAACACCCAGATCGAGGGATTTTGCATCCGCACACGCTGTGGAACTTGCTGCGCCACTTTCCACGTGTGGACGATGACACAGCAAGTTCCACAGCGTGTGCGGCAGGCTTTAAAGCCGCACTATGCGCATCTACACGCTAATTTCTCCAGTACTAGACTAGCAAATACTTCGTGTCATGCAGAATCATACTACCTTATGACAAAATAAACTCTAGTTCTTCCCATTTCACTGCGCGTTGTCTTCTAAAAGGCATTTGAAAATACCTCCAATGTTGTTCAAATTCTCCGATGTTGTTGACAGTTTCGCGATAAAAACATGTGACGTCACCTAACCACTTCGAGGCTAAATTGTTTGGCAGACAAGTCGGCGTTGGCGCCAGATTACCAGATTTCGCACCTCTTTCTTGTGGGTTTTAAGCAAGCGCGCAGTGAAATGGGAGGAACTAGAGTTTATTTTGCCATAAGGTAGTGTGATTATGCATGACACGAAGTATTTTCTAGTCTAGTACTGGAGAAATTAGCGTTTGGATGCGCATAGTGCGGCTTTAACGCCGGGGAACAATTATTCGGCCCTGAGTGACATCAGACAGCCGTGACAAAACGCAACATTGTAAATAAAACACTATATAATAAAAATACAACGTTTAATGTCGCATAACTGCGTTTCCTGCGAAACCTGCATGCCGCTGTCGCGTGCTTGCGTGTGCGTGCATGCGTGCGTGCGTGTGCGTGCCCGCGTTCGTTTGTGTGCGCGTGCTTGCGTGTGCGTGTCCGCGTTCGTTTGTGTGCCGTGCTTGCGTGTGCGTGTCCGCGTGTGTGTGTGTGTGTGTGTGTGTGTGTGTGTGTGTGTGTGTGTGTGTGTGTGTGTGTGTGTGTATCCGCGTTCGTGAGTGTGTGTGTATGTGTGTGTGCTGTGTGTGTGTGTGCGTGTTCGTCTGGGCGCGCGTTATTGCGTGTACGTACATGCGTGTGTATGTGCGTGTGCGTGTGTGTGTGCGCGCGTGTATGTGTGAGCGCGCGCGCGTGTGTGTGCGCGCGTGTATGTGTGAGCGCGTGTGTGTATGTGTGCGCGGGTGAACGTGTGCGTGGTAAGTACGTGCTTCGATGTATTCATAGATCAATTTCATTCAACGATTTATCTCACAACGTCCGTTACAAGTCATTGAATGTGAAGCAAAACGGCTCTTCACTCCCTGAATAAAATGTATCGTATTTCCTTCTTCCGCTCGCTTTGACACCCAACCCCCAAGATACGCAAGACTACACTTTGAGCCTATATCACGCAGCATTCACAATGGCTTATATCAGGTGAACACTTGAAATCCTCATGTAGTGTGGCGTAACGAACATTGACCTAGCAACTATACTGCGTATGGCTCATATTCGCCTATACGCCAAAAAAATTATTGCAGGCTTTGATTTTATTTCCTAAGCCACTTAAGTTAATGGCTGTTAGAGCAGTAAACTTTATCTGCTTTTCGAAATAATTGGCAGGGTATTGGCCGAGCGTCATCGGGAATTTGTGACCATTCAATGGAAATGGCGTTTCTCCTCGCTCTTCGGTCTTAATGACAGTCAATGTTCTCTGAAGGATTCACAGTAAAAATGCTGTCTGGTAGTAAAACTACTGGAAGGAAAACTGCTGGTCGTATCTCGTGCATTGCAATACACACTCGCGCAAAGTATAGGTTCCACCTTTGCTCGGGCAAACTTGTGCACTCTGCTGGAACGAAGACGATTGTGTGTAGCTCTACGCGCTGGGCGGAATTAGAATTGGTCGTATGACCCGTCTGAGCATCTTTTTCAAGCTGTCCATTAGCCATTAAACTTGCTCCTCTCCACAGCGAAAACTATGAGATTTACATACGCACTTTGAATATGGCTGCATTCTTGACGGAAAACACGCAAAACGCTTCCGATGAACAAAAATGGGCCACAAGCATTTGTTGTTTTAAATCTGTATGAACTTGTGAAAACCCGCAAAAAGTATTTGCCTACCGAATGATCACACAAACGATCGCAAAAGGTCTATGCATGCGAAATATATATCTCAGAACAAAACCAGAGCCTTAACCTCACTGAGGGGAGCAAGGACGGAGGGCTGCTGCATGCCTTTATTTTTCCAATTTCGTGCAAGCAGAGCATAATAATAAATCAAGTTGATTTATATGCTCTGGTGCAAGCACACGCACACCTACACGCAACACTTGCACGTATGCGCACGTATACGCACGTACACCTCCGCGCGCAGGTGCCTACGCGGAGGAAGGAGGGGGTTTAATGCGCACATTATATTAATTAATTATCTCGAAAAGATTCCACTGATTTAAACACGCCATTGGCAAAAATTCATCTACAATAACTCAATTTATAGCTTATATAAATAGTTTGCTTTTATTTTTTTTTTCATATATAAAACAAGTTGCTTTTATAAAAGCGACCCCGAAGAAAAGACTTTAAAGCAATCGAAACTATATGAGAACGAAGAGTCAGTCATCATGCATGTTTTCAGTGAGTTTGCATGCCCATTCATTTTAACTTGTCGGATCTTGGTACACTCGGGATTTTTTGTCGAGATGGCTCCAGACGCGGGCAACAAATGGGATGTAGAGAAAAGACCGCAAATGTGTCTGTCAACTGCGTGCGCTATTCGATACCATTTTGTCCCGTACCAAAAACCAATTTTTCGGGCGAAAGCCGTTACACAAGTACTGGCAGAAAAAGATGATGCTCGATATAAAAAACCGCGTTAGATGAGTGGTGAATTTGAGAAAACTGGTTATTGACCGAAAAATCTCTATGACCGGTTGTTTAGAAATATTTACTAACTTAAGTAACACTCGAATATCTTAATTAGTCTGCTAGAGTAAGTTCTTAATCTATATATAGTCTTAATTACATGTGAATGTGTTGATAGCGAATGTAGGCGTCCACTTTCATTTCAGTTCTACAATGTTCCTCGAAAGAGTTTTGCTCCACATATCCCCGTTTATTGATATTTTTAGCCGCTATTTTTTAGTTATTGTTAATATTTTTAGCATATTTTCTAACAAGCAAAGATATAGTTCATTGTTATTACCCTTTACTATAATACCTATTTTATCGCGCATTAATGTACTTACACGAACGAGTGTTCTCCGTTAAAGGCAACCACGGGTTTCTCACTAACAAATACAGAAGTTGTTCGCGAATATGGTGTGCCCGGGTGTGACAAGTGAAACTATATAGGAGAGTCGGAATATGCACTCATGCATGCCGCCTTGGGCTACTGCTCTTCTCGCGCATGCGCTCTCGCAAACACGTTATCCCCTATTCTGTGCGCGTGTTTACAAATTACTAACAAGATTTCTGGACACCGCTCAGTGTGTAGTGCACACACACTTTGCGCTCTTAGCGAAACGGTGCTGCACACGAGCGATTGAATTTCTATCATTCTCCATTCCGATTCAAAACTCGCCCATTAACTCAGCTGTTGAGAGCCTCCCATAGGGCATTAACCCCAGCGTCTTCCAAATACTCCACTCCTGCCTCATCTCGTATGTCGATATCATCAGTGGCGTATGGGGGGGGGTCAAAGGGGGTCATGGCCCTGTTGATCAAAAAGTAAAAAAAAAAATGTACTAAAAAGAGAATAAGTGTCTTAAGAATGAAGACTGTACACATGTACTCAAAAGTACCTCCAATACCATCGCCTGCGATCTACATTTTCAACATTTTCTAGGGAGGACCCCCTCCCCCCCACACTTGTTTCCCCCCTTGGAATTCTAGATCCGCCACTGAGTTACAATTACATATCTTTCGCTGTTTTTGCCCCCTCCCCCCCTGTTAAAAAATCCTGGTTACGCCACTGGATATCATTATGTGACCAGCTTCAGTCTAACGTGCAATGGCTCTTGGAGCGTGTCATAGTTAAATTAGTCGAGTTGTCAATAGACCATAAGTTAGTTATAGCCAAATGGCTGGTCATTGTCGGATAGTATTGGCTCTGGACGGCATTTAATAGGAGCTTGGCGGGTAGCGATACCCTAGCCCGCTCGCTGCGTGCACATGCGCGCACTGTCGACTGTTTATGAGTGCCAAATAGTTGGCATAATAGAGATTACAGTCCATTTATGTCCGTCGATATACAGTGCGGGTTGACATCAGCGCGAATGCTTTTTTTTCCTTTACTTGATAGCAAAAGTAAACGTAGCGGCTGGACTGCTGGTCAATGACGATGCTTTGTCGGGTGTTTCGCTGCGCGGTGCTAAGCTCCCATGTTCTAATGCGAGCGGAAACAAATCAATCATTGTCCAGTAGTGAAAATCATATTAATTCTGCGTATTTCAGGTTTAATTCTGCGATTTAATGAGACATTCTCGTCCGACCTAAGCTAAGCGCTGGTGACTAAATTAAGTAGACCTACGTGCAATAGCTTCCGCGATTTCACCGTAATAGTTTGCCGTCCTTGATCAAGATGGAGCTATATGGCATTATTCTTAATCGGTGATAATTCCAGCGCTTCTTTCACTTCCTAGTTCGTCTTTATAGCAGTAATGCACACCATGCAGAAAGGATTCTACTATACGGCGATGACGACGCGCCCAAATGTTGTGCGTGTGTGCAAGATCATCAGACCGCTAAAGGGGGCCAACAACAGTAAGTCTCCTCAAATTGTTCACCATTTTGCACTAGTTGGTCCCTAGAAAATTGCTTTTTTATTATTAGTTTTGCAGTGGAATTCGGCACTAGAGTACAATAATTTGCATTGTGCACGCAAGTTAGATGCCTCGTGGACGTCTAGAAAGTATTAAAAGTAATATTGGTATTGTCGTGTAATTGTGCCATTCCTCATCCGATCATGACAAGACCAATCTTACTTTTAATGCTTTCTAGACGTCCACGAGGCATCTAACTTGCGTGCACAATGCAAATTATTGTACTCTAGTGCCGAATTCCACTGCAAAACTAATAATAACTAGAGCACTCGGAGAGCACATACCTCCGCCAAGGCAGCTGAATTCTCTCAATGTGAAAGTTTTTATTAATTAATTAATTAATTAAGTGGAAAAATTAATTAATTAATTGGATCCGGTTTAGTGCGAGCGTGCAGGTGGGGGAGGACTGTGGTTGCCCCTTATCCTGTGGTTGCGTGTTTGTAAGTCTACAGCCAGCGCACCTAGCGGAAGTGAACTGAAACGTGCATGGTAACACACAAACACCGAAACCAACACTCAAAAACTCCCCGGTGAAAACATAACCCTGGCGGAGGTAAAAAAGCATTTTCTAGGGACCAAATAGTGCAAAATGGTGAACAATTTGCGGAGACTTACTGTTGTTGGCCCCCTTTAGCGGTCTGATGATCTTGCACACACGCGGCTTTAAGGCCCGTCTCCACACACGCGGCGCGGCACGGAACGCCACGGAAACGGCGTCGTTCACCCCTACCGGCAAAGTTCAAATCTATTATATCTTATGGCGCAGTCTCCACTGACACG